AAATTAAAAAAGGACTGAGGATATACAGTGGCTCAGTGTGAAGGCCCTGGTTCAATCCCCAGTACTGCCTCCCCCACATATAATAATTGTACATGTTGTGGCTTATGCTGTCATACATGGATACAATGTATAATAGCTAAATTAGGATAATTATAGGATAATTAGCGTTTCTGGTTTTTTTTTTTTTTTTTTTTACTTTTAGAGAAGATCTTGCTATGCAGTTCAGGCTGGCCTTGAGCTCACTTTGTAGCCCAGGCTGGTCTCAAACTCAACGATCCTTATGCCTCAGCCTCCTGAGTGCTGGGATTACAGGTATGCACCACCACACCATGCCCTTTTCTGTTTTCTTAAATATTTGTCATTGTGGTTGGGAACATTGTAACTCCTTTCCTTTATTTTTTTGTTTTTTTTTTCTGGTACTGAGAATCGAACTCACGACCTTGCATTTGCCAGGCAGGCGCTGTGCCGCTGAGCTAAATCCCCAGCCCCTGGAACTCCTTTCTAGTTTTGTTTTTTGGGATTGATCCCAGGGCCTTTGCAATGAACTACATCTCCAGCCCCTTTTTATTTTTATTTTTTATTTTGAGACAAGGTCTGGCTAAATCCCTAAGTTGTCCAGGCTGGATTTGAACTTGTGATCCTCCTGCCTCAGCCTCCCAGAGTGCCATTGTACTGGGCTTTTCTAGTTCTGCATAAAATAGGCAATAAATTGTGAACTAGTGACCCTACTGTGCTATAGGCCATTATAATTTATTCTTCCTAATTGTATTTTGGCCCTTGTTATCTAGCTTCACTCTAGCCCCTTTCATTCCTACTCTTCCTAACAACCTCTAGTGATTACTGTTCTACTTTCAGGAATTCAACTTTTAAGGTTTTATATAGGAGCAAGAATATGCATAATTTGTCTGTTCCTGGCTTGTTTCATTTAGCAAAATGCCCCCCATTTCCACGCATGTTGTTGTGACTTTCATTTTTTCTGGGTGAATAATGGTCCACTGTATATGCATACCACATTTTCTCACCTGTCTTATCCATTGCTGGATACCTGCACCTGCACATCTTGGTATTGTGGATAAGTGCTCCAATAAACAGAAGGCAGATGTCTCTGTAATATACTGATTTTTCTCTCCCTTAGCTAGATCTCTAGTAGTTCCATAGCATGTGTTAGTTCTTTTTTCTTTTCTTTTTTTTTGGTACTGAGAAACGAACTCAGAACCTTGCACTTGCCGGGCAGGTGCTTGTACTGCTGAGCTATATCCCCAATGCCATGTGTTAGTTCTATTTTTAATTTTTTGATAGTAGTAGTTTTTTGAGGTATGTATCTGTAATTGGATCTAATTTTTATAGTCTCATTTGCTTTTATTCTGATATGACCTTAACATTTAAGCCTTAGGCTAGGTGATCTGGCGCATGCCTGTAATCCCAACACTTGGGAGGCTGAGGCAGGAGGATCATTGTGAGTTCAAGACCAGCCTGGGCTACAGAATGAGCTCACAGCTGGCCTGAACTGCATAGTGAGACCCTGTCTCAAAAAGACAAAAATGAAATAAAATAAAACCCCATTTAAGCTTCAAATTAATTTTTTCATTGTTGTTAGATTTACTGCTTGTGGTATTATAACTGTAGTAGTTTCATCTTTTTAAGTTCTCATTGCATGGAAGTTTGAATTTTTGTCTTGTTTTGGGGATGGTCTTGCATCTTCTTATAAAATTTAAAAGACCCAACAGCCCTACCCTGAAATCTATTTCCCATAAGCAGCTGCAGCTTATGGTAGTACTGTTTCTGGTGGCAAAAACTGGAAACAAGGTAAATACACACTGCCAAACCACTGATGTTTCCACACTGTGGAAAATACTACGTAGCCATTAAAAGAAAGCTACAACTATATGTTGACTTGGAAGCCTTGGTGTACATTTAAATAAGAGCTAGAGCAGAGCATGGTGGTGGATACCTGTAATCCCAAGTGCTTGGAAAGCTGTGGTAGGATTGAGGCCAGCCTGGAATACATAGTGAGACCCTGCCTTAAGAAAACTGAGAATAAACAAATAGACAAAAGCTAGAAGTGGAGCTAGGGTACGTTGTGGGATCTCAACTTTGTAATGCTCAGGAAGAGTATGTTCCCTAAAGTTAAAAATATCCAGTTAAACTAGGCGCAGTGGCACATGCCACTTGGGAGGCTGAGGCAAGAGGATCGCTGTGAGTTTGAGACTGGTCTGGGCCATAGTGTGAGCTCAAGTCCAGCCTGAACTGCATAACTAGACCCTGTCTCAAAAAAAAAAAAAAAAAATCCAGTTATATATATTTTAAAAAACCTATAGTGTTTTTTAAAAAACATTTTCAAAGTAGTTTTGAGGAGCTGGGGTATAGCTTAGTGGTAGAGCTCTTGTCTTAAATGAAAGGTCCAGCATTCCATCCCCAGCACTTCAAAATACAAAACACAACAGCAAAATGTTTTGCTGTATAATATACATACCATAAAATTTGACCATTTTAAGTACTGTGTATAGTTGGATCATTGAAAATAACTGCAGTCTTGTAAATGACTCAGTACTGACATCTATTTCTGGTGTTGTGTTGCTGCTTGGGTTTTGTTTTTGTTTTTGTTTCTGTTTTCCTTGTTTTTTTTTTTTTTTTTTTTGAGACAGGGTCTTACTATGCCATTCAGGCTGGTCCTGAGCTCACTTTGTAGCCCAGGCTGGTCTTGAACTCTCAGTAATCCTCCTGCCTCAGCCTCCTGAGTGCTGGGATTGCAGGTGTGCGCCATCACGCCCGGCTCCTTGTTTCTCTTTTCCTGATGGGTCTCTCCCATCCCTTTGTTCTTTTCCCTTATCTTTTAGCTATGTGCTTGAAAAGACAGCATGAATATAGATATTTTTAAAAGTCCATTCTCATACTCTGTTTTAAACTGGAGAATTTAATTTTTCCCTCCTTTCTGCTTCTCTCATTTCATTGCTTAGAAGTTACATACTGTACTTTCTTGAGTACCAAAGAAATGTGAAAATACTCTATGTATTGAACATGAAGTCCATACTTAAATATCTGCATAGTACAGAGACTCTGAAATTCTCAGTGAGTCTAAAAATTTCAAATTCTGAAGGTCTTTTACATTTGGTTTTATTCTTGAAAGTTAATATTGATAGGTGTAAGAATGTAGGTCAGGATTGCCAGACCTTTTTTGTTCTTTGTAAAAGGTCAGACAATATTTTGGGCTTTGTGACCTGTACAGTCTTTAGTAACTAGTGAATTCTGTTGTTGTAATACAAAAGCAACTGTAGGCAATACATAAACATATGAGCATGGATGGCTGTGTTCTGAAAACTTTTATTTGTAGATACTGAAATTTGACTTTTATATACTTCCCATATATGAAAAATATTATTAAAAATACATTTTTTTTGCCAGGTGTGGTGGTGAACTCTTGTAATCCCAGCACTCAGGAGGCTGAGGCTGGAGGTTTGGAAGTTCAAGGCCAGCCCAGGCTCCATAGTTCAAGGTCAGCCTGAACTACATAGCGAGACCCTGTCTCAAAAACAAGACACAGACACACACACGAACATGATGTGTCTGACCTGTAGGTCATAGTTTGCTGACCTCTGGTTCCTATGAATATTCATTTCATCTAATACCTGACTTTTAGAGTAGTATGCTTATGCTGCTTTTTTTTTGAGACAGTGATTCCCTATGTAGAGCAGGCTGGCTTTGAAGTCACTGTGGAGCCCAGCCTTGCCTTGAATTCATAGTAATTCTCCTGCCTCAGCCTCCTAAGTGATGGAATTACAGGCATATGCCACCATGCCTGGCACCCCACGCTATCTTTTTTTTTTTTTGTACTGGGAATTGAACTCATGACCTCAGACTTGCCAGGCAAGCTCTTCTGGCCCTGAGCTATATCCCTGGCCCCTACCCCATGCTATCTTAATTTGATACTGTTTTCCATTTTAATTCTAGAGAAGTCAGCTCTCAGTCTTACTGTCATTGCTTTTAGGTAATCTGGTGGTATTCTTTAGCTGCTTTTAGAAATTTGTGTGGGTGTGGGTGTGGGTGTGGGTGTGTGGCGCTGGGATGGAACCTATGGCCTCATTCATGCTAGGCAAGTGCTGTACCCACTGAGCAACCCCTCAACCCTTAAGCATGTTTTAAGTTCCCTGTGCTGTACCTAAGTATGTGTTTATTTTCATTTCACCTGCTTAGGATTTGTTGCATAGCCAGAATCTAAGAATTCATGTCACTTTTTACTTCTAGAAAAATTCCAGCCATTATTTTTGCTTATGTTATGGTATAGACAAAATAGGAAGTTGATATAAAAATCCATCTAGAGATTTTTCTAGCAGGTTTTAGGGTAAGATAGTGTACTATTTAATTCCTAGAATTGACTGCTAGATACCTTTTTTGCTTTTTTTAAACAATTTTTTTTGGGGGGGTACCAGGAATTGAACTCAGGACTTTGCACTTGCCGCGCTTTTGCCACTGAGCTATATCCCCAGGCCTTAGACACTTTCTGTATAGATGACTTATATCTTCCTTTATCAAACAGATTACTTTTCTGGTGTGGCTGTTAAAAAGCACAACATTAGTTGCAATATTAATATTAAATGTTTAAGGACTTAGTGCTTTTATAACATTAATGCATACATTATAACTTTTGTGTAGTATAAATATACTATCTATCTATTTATTTATTTATTTATACCAGGAATTGAACTCAGGGCTTCACACTTACTAGGCAGGTGCTACGCCACTGAGCTAAACCGCCGGCTCCTAGATACTAACTTCTATATTATTAGTAGTTTCAGTAGCAAAGGTTTATATGGCATTTGTTTTTTAAATCATCCTAAGATTGTCCTTTGTACGTGTATGCATTTTATGGACTAACGGTGTGACTGATTATTTAACTAATTATATTATAACTCTGGTTATTTGAATGTATCTTTAAGTTATAAGCTATACAGGTGCTTTCATAGACCGACACTGTCATTTCAGAGAACTCAGTTTCCTGCCGCTGCTGAATCTCAGAAACCCAGCAAGAAAAAAGGTTTGTATGCGCTTTTGTTGTAATGTGTGTATTTGCGCAGATTTCTCTGTCTCCTTGATCCTTTGTGGGTTTTTTTTTTCTACTATATGTGCATTAGAGCTTTTAAAAATGTGAGTGTTACAAAAAGCAGTACTAGTTCAGATATTGTGCTGTATCTAGCTTTTATTTTATGGGGCTGTTAGATATTACTGACCTGTAAACTTTTTTTTTTTTTTGAGACAGGGTCTCACTATGCAGTTCAGCTTGGCCTTGAACTCACCATGTAGCTCAGGCTGGCTTTGAACTCACAGCAATCCTGATGCCTCAGTCTCCTGAGTGCTGGGACTACAGGCATGTGCCACCACACCCAGTTGTAAATGTATTTAAATGGAGTTTGATTATTAAGTATGATTGCCTTTCAGAAATGTATTTTACAGTGTGTTTTCCAGGAATATATCTTTTACTAGAAGAGCTGTACATTTCTACTTTGAGTTATTTGTGACAATCAGATGTAATTCTGACATTATCTAATACAGTTGCAAATATTCCTAAGACTGTCTGGACAGAAGAATCATTTCCCTTTTTGTTTATTTGTTTTGAGACAGAGTGTTGTAGCACACCACAGGCTGGCCTTGAAGTCATTTTGCTCCTCCTGCCTCAGCCTCCTGAATGCTGGGGACTATAGGAGTGTGCCACCATGCCTGGCTTCACTTTGATATCTATCACTGCCTATAAATCACCAGGTGATTTGGCTGGTTAGATGGGATCTGTGTGTCTTGTGATTGCCTCTTCAGTGTTCATCCTACCCTTCCTCTAGAGTCTAGTCCTATCATTTGATTGGCAGCAGGTCCAGAAGAGGATTGTGTACCAGTTGGGAATTGGTCTGTGCCCAGCTCAGGCTAATGAGATGCAGAGTTGTTTGCTTTAGCACCAAGAAGCATTTGATGTGCGTTGCTGCATTCTGTAGCTTCCCCCAGGGTCCCTTTCTCTTTCTCTTCCTCCTCTTTTTGGTGCTGGGGCTTCGAACCCAGAGCTTCCTGCATGCTAGGCACACATTCAACCACTGAACTAATTCCCAGCCTTTCTCATCCGTTCTTCCTCCTATCTCTATCTCAGAGCAGCCAGAAATCGCTGTTTGATTTCTCATTATTAAATTTAGTTTTTCCTGTTCTCGACCCCCCTCCTACATTTGTGAACTTACCTTGTCCTAGGACCAGTGATAGCGATTGGGACTACAGAGATAAATAGGGCCTGGATTCCTCCCTCGGGTAATTGGCCATCGTCAGAACATAGAGAACAGACAGGAATGAAGTGTAGAGCATGCTTCCTGCTGAACTTAAATATTTCTAGTTTCTTCAGCTCTTGTTGTTTTTTTAATGTGGGACGTTTAGAACTCCTTTGATATAAATTGCCTTGGACAGGTGGCACTTGGCGTTGGTCCCTCCAGGCAGTTCAGAGTGGAGGACTAGGGACCCCGCGGGGCAGGCAAGAGCACGGCCACTAGTGTATCAGGATGGTGACATATTGGGTCTCTTCTCATGTGCACATTTTGTTTCTCTCCTCCAGGTGCGGCTGGGTTGACTTTGGGCAGCAGTCTCACTAATTCCGGCGTTCATCCTATTGCTCAGGGCCTGGGACCCTCATGCATGGCATAGTGGCCACAGCGGGATTGGGCGGCCTCACACCTCCGATGTCAGGGGCATCACCTGCCTGTGACATTTGCCTTTGACAGACAGTAACTTTCCCTATTGCTGCAGTAAAACACAGCGACTAAAACTTGGAATGTTGTCCCAACCTCGTATTCCTGGAGTAACCACCAGGTGGTTGTGACGCATTACCTTTTTAAAATATTGCTTGGGGCTGGGGATATAGCTCAGTGGCATAAGTGCCTGCCTGGCAAGTGCAAGGCCCTGAGTTCAAGTTCCAGTACCAAAAAATATATATATATATTGCCAGATTTAACCAATATTAATACTTCATGAAGTATTTGTACACCTGTGCTCATGGGAGGTGGTTGTTTGCCTTTTTGTTTACCAGTGCCGGTGTCTGTTTTTGAGATGAGGGTTAATTCAGTCTCCACAGGATGGGCTGGGACTTAACTTTCTTCGAATCGGTGGTGTATCTTTCACATGTTTGCTAGAATGTTACAGCAAAGCAGCCCTGGCTTAGGTTTTATCCTTATTGGGAGGTTTTTAGATCAAATTTAGTTTATTAAATAAATGTAGAATTCTTCAGTCAATCTTCTTTTTTCTTTTTTGGTACTAGAGTTTGAACCCAGGGCCTTTGCACTGATCTGCATCCCCCGGACTTTTATTTATTTATAATTTTTTTCTTTTAAATTGATATATATAGCCCAGACTAGCCTCACACTTGTGGCCATCCTCCTGCCTCAGCCTCCCAAATGCTGGGATTACAGATGTATGCCACCACGTCCATCTTTTTTTGTTTTTCTGAGACAGAGTCTTACCATGTAGTTTTGTCTTGCGTAGAATTCACTCTGTAGCCCTGGCTGGTTTGAACTCATGGCAATCATTCTACCTTAGTCCTCTGAGTGCTCAGATTACAAGTATGCACCACCATGCTTGGGAAAATTCACTTTTTTGTTTTTTTGATTTTTGAAATGGGGTCTCACTATGAGTTCAGGTTGGCCTTGAACCTACTGTGGAGCTCAGGCTGGTCTTGAAGTTGTGGATCCTCTTGCCTCCGCCTCCTGAGTGTTGAGATTACAGATGTGTACTTCTGTGCCTGGCAAAATTCACTTTTTGAAAAATATTTTCGGTGCTGAGGCTCAATCCCAGGTGTTCACACATGCTAGGCAGGTGCTACACCCCCAGCCCAGGTTCACCTTTTCTAAATACAAAGTTCTGGGCATTTTGATAATGAAACAGTCATGTAACCACCATTACTATAATGAAGATATGGAAGCTCGGTTGCCCTCCCCGTCACCTTGACTCTATAGAGCATCGCTTCTTTCCTTCCCGTCTGCTGGCAGCTGCTGATCTGTTTTTTTCTCGGTATGGTTTTGCCTTTTCCAGGGTGTCGTATGAACAGATCTGCATGTAGAATTTTGAGTAGCTTTGTAAGCCTGGTGTGGTGTCTGAGATTTATTCATCTTGTCATATGCCTGAGTTTCTTTTACCTTCTTTTTTTTTTCTGAGTTTCTTTTTGTTGATGAATAATACTCAGTGTATGCACATCCTGTAGTTTACTCATGTACCCACCAGAGAAGTACGTCCGGGTGGTTTGCAGTTTTTGGCTTTTAAGAAAAGCCTCTGTAGGGCTGGGGATACAGCTCAGTGGCATAAGCACCTGCCTGGCAAGCGCAAGGTCATGAGTTCTATCCCTGGTACCGCAAAAAAAACAAAAAGAAAAGCCTCTGTAAATATTCACTTCAAGGATTTCATTTCTCTTGCACTAAGGACCTTAGAGTTGGAGTGCCAGGTAGTATTGAGTATATATTTATGAGAAATATACCAAACTGTTCTCCAAAATATCTAGACCATTTTTTTTTTTTCCTGCCTGCAGTGTATGAGAGTTCTGGTTTCTCAGCGCCCTTGCGAGCATAGTGCATGGTCAGTGTTCTGTAAAAGCTATTTTGGTGGGTCCATTGCAGCGTCCTGTAGCTTTAATTTGCACATTCCTAATTGCCATTCATGTCAGGCATCTTTTTGTTAAACTCACAACCTCGTGCTTGCCAGGCAGGCACTGTGTCACTGTGCTATGTCCCCAGCCTCAGGCATCTTTTTAGATGCTGCCCTGTGCTCCTCGTATCTCCTTTGGTGATGTGTCCAGATCATTGACCATTTAAAGAAAACAGCTCTGCATTGTGGTGCACAACTGTCCAGGTACCTGGGAGGCTGAGGCAGGGGGATAGCTGTTTTGATGAAGATACACTTTGATTCATACCTCTTATGTGAAGATGAACACCAAATGAGTCAGATCTAATGTAAAATATGCAAATATTAAAAGAAAATATTGGCCAGGGATTTGTAGCTCAGTGGTAGAGCACTTGGCTAGCATATATGAGGCCCTGTGTTCTATTCCCAGTACTTCCAAAAAAAATTGCCAGAGGCAATAAAAGCAAAGGTCTCATTATGTAGCCCAGGCTAGCCTCAAACTCCTAACAATCCTCCTGCCTCAGCCTCCCGAATTATAGGCATGTACCGCCATTCTCAGAATTTGTTTTCTGATTCATAAATCACATTTCTAGATCTTTTTCTTGTGCTGTTTACAGTCATTTGCCTCTCTCCCCGGCCTGGTCTCGTGAAGGACCTTCTCTTCCTCTTTTCCACAGCTCTGGCTGGGTCTGACGGTGGGAGGGGGCCGAAGCCAGCACACCATCTGCTTCTCTCGTGTTGCTTTTTTTTGCCAGGCAGGCCGGTCTTGTTTTCAGCCTCCTCCTGTAACTCCAGCCCTGGGTAGGGCTTGCCACATGCCCCTCCCTTCATCTTTCTGGCCTAAGGGTTTTGGTGGCTTCTGTTGTGCCCAGCTCAGAAGTGTCTCAGCGATCCCTGCCGGCCTCTCCTTTCCCCTCCCCCGCCCACGCCTGCAGTGCCCGTTTCAAACCCGCAAGTGCTGTCTGTGTTTCCACGTTACGCTCACCGAGTTAGAGCTCAAGATGATAGCAATAAAAAAGTCTTTACAATCCTGTCAAGCCTGGTCGTGTTGCGATGTCTCAAATACTGCACTGAGATAGAGAACTCTTAGAATTCCTGTTGGGTGAGAGGAAGCCATTGTCAGGAGGCTACTTCCAGTTTGTTTGTGTTTTCCAGTGAAAATCACAGGGGGACACGAAGGCTCGGGGAGGCGGAATAGCTTGCCTGGGGCCTGCGAAGGCTCCTGCTGGGCCACATTGTGTCCTGCACCCCAAAACTACGTGCTACGTGTCGGCTGCATCCGAGAGAGACCCTTTACCACTGAGGGGTTTATGTGCAGGGTTTTCACAGAAGCCTTAGTCATTTCAGGAGCATTTGTGACCAGAACTTGGAACCACGGTCATTTTCTGCGTGGCCCTTGCGTCGCCTGGCCAGCAGCCCTGGCTTTGGCCAGAGGTGATGTAGAGGTTTGCCTGAGGGCCGCTCCCGGAAGGCCTTGGCGCAGTGGACATGGCACATTGGGCAGGAACTCAGTTGCAGAATTGTTTACAGTGTGGCCGGAGGGAAGGAAGAAGTGGAGGAGATGTCACAGAAGCGTGGAATTTGCCAGGCTGCCAGCCTTCCGCTGCCTGGGCGGGGGCTGCGGGTGGTGTGGGAGCTGGAAGGGGCCGCCCGCGTCCCCTCCTTGGCTACTGCCTACCCTCTGTGCTTGCAGAGGCTGCTCCAGGGCAGCACTGGCGATGCTCGCGGTGCTCTGACACAGACTGGAGGTGCCGCCGGCACTTCCTGCCCCCTCGGGAGCCTGGCAGCAGCGTTCCATGCGCGTAGCGGGGTGGGGATGAGTGATGATGTGGAATACCAGAGCGGCAGCTTTTACACTCACAGGTAAATTGGAACTGGATTCAGGGCTCTAAAGGTTTTTAAGGTACCCTGAGCTCCCTCACACTCGGGTCTCGGCCTAGCCCCAGTCTTCTAAATGAGTGGATGGCAAACGGTTTAAATAAAAGGGACAGGGGCTGGGGATTTAGCTCAGCGGCAAAAGCGCCTGCCTGGCAAGCGCAAGGTCGTGAGTTCGGTTCCCGGTACCGGAGAAAAACCAAAAAA